TTATTTATTTGTTAGAGAGAGAGAGAGAGAGAAAGCACAGGCAGACAGAGTGGTAGGCAGAGGCAGAGGGAGAAGCAGGCTCCCCGCTGAGCAAGGAGCCTGATGTGGGACTCAATTCCAGGACTCTGGGATCATGACCTGAGCCAAAGGCAGCCACTTAGCCAACTGAGACACCCAGGCATCCCTACCTAGTTTAATTCTTGATACTATCATTTCCTTTCTCTCTTTTTTCTCCTTCACTTTTATTTCTAAAGATTTTATTTACTTGACAGAGAAAGAGATCACAGGTAAGTAGAGAGGCAGGTGGCAGGGGTCAGGGGTGGAGATGAAGCAGCTCCCCACTGAGTAGAGAGCCGGATATAAGGCTCAATCCCAGGACCTTAAGATCATGACCTGAGCTGAAGGCAGACACTTAACTGACTGAGCCACCCAGGTGCCCCAAAAAACACTTTTATAGTTCACATATGACCGATAACATTTTAAAAGGACATTCACAAAAAATCTATATCTAATATTTTGCTTAATTGTGAAAGGCCAAATGTCTTCTCTCTAATATTAGGAACAAATTGAGGATGTTTACTGTCACCATTTCTATCCAACAATTTCTATTCTATTGAACCTAGCCAGTTCAATGAGGCATAAATAAATAAATAAATAAATAGCTACTCAAATTGTTTAAAAATAATAATAATAATAATTAGATCATCACAACCCATGCAAAAACTAAAGATTTACTAAAATAGATATTCCAAAATTTTAACTGAAATTCTATCTTTTGTAACAGGTGTCAGCAAACTATAGCCAGGGGACCAAATATGGCTTGCCACATATTGTTAAAATTAACTTCCATTGAAACACAACCATGTCCTTTTTGTTTATTTATTGCCATGGTTGTTTTTGCATTACAACAGGAAGAGTTGAGTGGTTGAGATGAAGACCTACAGCTTGTAAACCCTAACATAGTTACTGTTGACCTTTAATTTTTTTTTTAAGATTTTATTTGTTTGAAACAGAAAGAGACCCACAAGCAGGGGAGTGGCAGAAGGAGAGGGAGAAGCAAACTCCCCACTAACCAGAGAGCCCGATGTGGGGCTCAATTCCAGGACCCTGGGATTATGACCTGTGCAGTAGGTAGACATTTAACCAACTGAGCCACCCAGGCACCCCTACTATTGACCTTTTACAGAAAAAGTTAGCCAACCCCTGTTCTGTTCTGTACAATATATGCCATAATCATATCGATCAAATATAACTAATGAAAGAGAATCCAAACTTCTCTTGGGTTATATATAGCATCCTTTTCTCTCTACACAATTTATTTTCATCCATGATATTCATATTAAGTCCCGAAACAAACTTAAGCCTAATACCTTATTATACTATGCCTAGCAATGTACTCTGAAAGAAATAATTAATGCACTGTGTTTCTTCACATTTTACTTATATTTGGGTGATAACATCAGGAATCTTTACTGGTGTACAAGGTACCCCAAAGGCATGAGGCTGGAGGAATTGATGTTTCCTGAGAAGGTAAGTTGAGGCTCTGTAGGGAAATTGATTATTTGATGAGTAGAGTTTTACCAGCTGGATAAGGAAGATGAGGTAACAAAGGCATGGCATGATGTAGCAGCAACAGCCAGAGTATGAACATGCTAAAGCTTGGTGTCCTGTATCCTTCCCCTCTCACATTCCCACAGACCACTGCGCACATATATGCATAATCCTTCATACAGCCACTTCATCCAGCTTCATTTGTAGTTTTACTACCTTATTTTTCATGGCCCTACCCTCTGTTTAATAAGTACAGGGACTTTCTTTTTAAGAAAAAAATGCCTTCTTTTATTTTAATCAATTCTGTGATTTAATTCTTTTTTTTCCCCTCCTCTTATAAGGGAATGGTAAAGCTGTCCAGTTATCAAAACAATTAACATTCCTTTTCTTGGGTGGACTACCATCAGTGTGCTTTCATGCAGCAAATCTCCCAGGTCCTAGGAACCACTTCCAGACACTGAAGTTCTTCTCAGTTCAAAAGACTCCTCTGCCTCCAGGAACTCCAAATGCTTCTGTCTTCTTCGGAGGACTTCTGGAATAGGTCATAGATCTGCTGCTCTGAATCCCTGTAGAAGTAGTCAGTGGTTTCTGTCATTTCTGAAAAACTGATCTCAGAAAGCCCAGATTCACTTAGAACTTTAATCTCTTGAATCAAGGGGCAAAGGTAGCATCAGTCTTGCCTCTCCCCACAAGGTAAAAAGGGTGCTTCCGGAGCTCCACTGTCCACGACAGTGTAGTCACTCCTCAGCCTGGGTCAGCTCTCTTGGCTTCCAAAGCAGCTCAGTGAATACCAGCAGGTCAGCTAGGGTAAGAGGAGGCCCACGTTGGTGGCAGTGATGGACAGCACAGCCATGGCATGTCTCTCAGACAGCTGCAACTGCCAGCATAGATCTGTCAGGCTCCCTGTGGTTGCTGTGTTGTGATTATTTTTTTTTCTCTTTGGTTCAGTTTCAGAAACACATTTAAAACTATGCATTGCCCAAGCACATTGAATATAAGGAATTATAATTTAAACTATTTCTTTAAATAAAGCATTGAATCTTAAAAAAATACTTAAGCATCACTTAAGGAGCCAAATCATAAGCTGATTATTTTAAATACAATTTAAGGTAGTATTTGAGTTCTCATTTTTGTTCAAGAAAGAAATGGGCATTGTACATGGCTACATGGTTTGATTGCAAAGATTAATTAATGTTTGTTATCTGTGGTGACTCATACTTTTCACAGCAGTCTTTTTCAAATTGTGATTCCGGCAAAAATTGGTATCTAATAATAAGGATATTAATTGGTATGCTGTTTAATAAATGAATTAATGCATAGCATGTAGATAAATAAGGATAAAGAATTCTCATATTTTATCATCTATTTTTTATCATATACACTGCTAGTTTATTCATTAAAGCCTCTGAAAAATACCCAAGACTATTGATTTGGTTCAACTCAACAGTTGCTAAACTCATATGATCATGGAAATCTTTTTGACTTTCCAAAGTCCTTTTTGACTTCAAACAAATGAAATTAGGAAACACAACTCTACTACTTTTTATTATCCATATTCCACAGCCTGTGGCTTTTAAGAAAAGTTTCTATTTTCTCTTACCTATTAAATTTATTTTTCCTGTTTCTACAATTCTTAAACCTTGAAATTCTTTATTTTTCTTTTTAAAGATTTTATTTATTCATCTGAGAGAGAGAGAGAGCATGAGGGGGGTAAGGGCAGGGAGAGGGAGAAGCAGGCTCCTTGCTGAGGCTTAATCCCAGGACCCTGGGATCATGAACAGAGCTGAAGGCAGACACTTAACCAACTGGGCCACCCACATGCCCCCAAATTATTTCTTTTCACACGCGATTATTTTGTAAAACACCTTCTTGTTACATATTTATCAAAAGTACCTATAATTTTTGGAATTATATAGAATAAGATATAGTTGCTTTCAATTTTTGTGTTTAACAAATTTTAATGCATTATTTCATTATCCTCTAGCCAATTATAGTTATATAAATAACTATTTGCATGAGGCACATAGCAGTCTATTGGCTTAACTCCAGTTTTTTGTTTGTTAGGTTTTTTGTAAATGATCTTATTTAGGCAAAAGGTATGTGGTAACATGTTAACAAAGAGAACTAGAAATATCGGAACATAGTATTTGATCAATAACGTTTAGTTAAATGATAAACTAGTCCATGTCTACAGATTTTTCTCAATTTAAAATAATGGGTTGTTTTCTGTTTAGCCTTGTGTGGTACTCTTTAAGCAAGTTAGACAGATTAAAATGATCCCTTCTTCATATTTTTAACCTAAGAAATTTTAATATCAATTCATGAACTCAATGAACTGCCTCAGTGAGCTCCTTGCTTCTCTGTTTCTCGTAATTCTCTAATGGACAATGGAGGCTCGAAGCTGATGGAAAGCAACAGGTTTGGGACCAATTCCAAATTCCTGCCACTTCCTTTACTTGTGTCTTTTCTCAGAGCTTGGCCTTCTCTCTCAAGAGCTGTTTTCCTTTCAGAGCCAGTTTCATTTTCTCTTAATCCGTTACTCTCTTCCCTCTCAGAGGCCTATCTATACTATTCTCTGATGAGTATCCAATTCCAAAGACTAGTGTCTGCTTAATAGGACTTATTCACTTACTCCTCAGGTCTTTTCTGCTCCCCTTAACTCCTTCCTAAATCCCTGCTGTCTTTTCTTTCTAAATTTTTACTTTCCTGGAATCTGAGTGGCAAGTTTCACTTATGAAGTGCCACAGAAATACAAACTTGTATTCATCCCTGGGTCACTTCTGTGCAGGTACAGTGGAATGTTCTGACTTCAGAAACAATCTGCCTTTTTAGAGGCCAAACATGATTCAGTCCTGCAATTCTTTAATTGTGTGGCTATTAGAGTTCACTTCTGACAGCTATGCATACCACCCCTTTCCTCCTTCTCCTCCTTTTCCTTCTTCCTCTTATTCCTCCACTTCCTCTTCTTCTTCCTCTTCTTCTCCTTCTCATTCTGCTTCACCCTCTCTCCCTCTCCTCCTCCTTTTTCTTCTTCTTCTTTTTTTTTTTTTGGCTGGGTACAGTGTACATTATTGATGGTACATGACAAGGTAGGGCTACCCAAGCCCTTCCTTCTTCAAGAAACTGTGTAGAGGGGAATGATGAGTTGGGGCAAGGACTCCCCAGCAGCTCTTCCTCTTCCTCTCCTTCCTCTCTTGCTCTCATTGTTGCTGGTAGTCCAGGGGTCTCTCTCCTTGGAGGCCATGTGGACCTTAAGGTCCGCCACCCAGGTGCTATAGCCAAATTAATTGTCATACCAGGAAATGAGCTTGACAAAGTAGTTATTGAGGGCAATGCAGCCCCAGCATCAAGGGTGGAAGAGTGGGTGTCATTGTTGAAGGTGCATGAGACAATCTGGTCCTCAATTAGCCCAGGATGCCCTTGAAAGGACCCTCTGATGCCTGCTTCACCATTTGGTGAATTTGGAAGCTTTCTCCAGGTGGCAGGTTGATCCAAGACTGACACCTTGGGGCTGGGCGTATGGGGGCACTGAAGGCCATGGCAGTGAACTTCCCATTCAGCTCAGGGATGACCTTGCCTGTGTAGCCTTGGCAGTGTTAGTAGAAGCAGGGATGATGTTCTGGGCAGCCCCTGAATCATCCTGGCATGGTTCCAGAGGGCCTGTCCACAGTCTTCTGGGTGACAGTGATGGCATGGACTGTGGTCATGAGTCCCTCCACAATGCTGAAGTTGTTATGGATAACCTTGGTCAGAGGGACCAAACATTTGGTGGTGCAGGAGGCATTGTGACAATCTTGAGGGAGTTGTCATACTTTTCATGGTTCACACCCATTACAAACATGGGGGCATCAGCAGGAGCAGAGATAATTACTCTCTTGGCCCCACCCTTCAACCAAGCCCCAGCCTTCTCCAAAGTGGTGGAGACTCCACTGGACTCCTCAACATACTGAGCAACAGCATCACCCCATTTGATATTGGCAAGTTCTCACTCTGGGAAGATATAGATGGGCTTTCCATTGATGACCCATTTCCCATTTTCATCCTTGACTGTGACACGGAATTTGCTGTGGGTGCAATCACACTGGAATATGTAGAACATGTAGTTGAGGTTAGTGAAGGATGATTGATGACAAAAATTTCCACTTTGTCAGAGCTAAAATCAGCCCTAGTGACCAGGTGTTGAATCTGGCCAAATTTGTTTATTCCAACCTTCACTACTGTGTCTCAGGGATGCAACTTGTATTTCACCAGAAGATACAGTTGTCTATTGAAGGGGAAGCAGAGAGCCTGGTCCTTTTCTTCTTATGTGTGTGTTTATTTTCTTTCATTTTTCTTTGTAGTTATCAAAATGATGCAGACTTGCGTTCCATAGATTGCATTTTCATGCTGTTGATTGTTTCTTTTTCTGTGCAGAAATTTGTTAGTTTGATGTAGTTCTATTTCTTTATTTATGTTTTTATTAACTATAGTTTTGAAGTTATATCCCTGAAATCATTATGGAGACCAATGTCATGAAACTTTTACCCAAAGTTTTATTCTAGGAGTTTCAGAGATTTTGATTTTTTTTTAATTTTATTTTTTGATAAACATATAATATATTTTTATCCCCAGGGGTACAGGTCTGTGAATCGCCAGGTTTACACACTTCACAGCACTCACCATAGCACATACCCTCCCCAATGTCCATAACCCCACCCCCCCTCCCAACCTCCCTCCCCCCATCAACCCTCAGTTTGTTTTGTGAGATTAAGAGTCACTTATGGTTTGTCTCCATCCCAATCCCATCTTGCTTCATTTACTCTTCTCCTACCCCTTAACCACCCATGTTGCATCTCCTCTCCCTCATATCAGGGAGATCATATGAAGGTTGTCTTTCTCCGATTGACTTATTTCGCTAAGCATGATACCCTCTAGTTCCATCCACGTCGTCGCAAATGGCAAGATTTCATTTCTTTTGATGGCTGCATAGTATTCCATTGTGTATATATACCACCTCTTCTTTATCCATTCGTCTGTTGATGGACATCTAGGTTCTTTCCATAGTTTGGCTATTGTAGACATTGCTGCTATAAACATTCGGGTGCACGTGCCCCTTTGGATCACCGCATTTGTATCTTTAGGGTAAATACCGAGCAGTGCAATTGCTGGGTCATAGGGTAGTTCTATTTTCAACATTTTGAGGAACCTCCATGCTGTTTCCCAGAGTGGTTGCACCAGCTTGCATTCCCACCAACAGTGTAGGAGGGTTCCCCTTTCTCCGCATCCTCGCCAGTATCTGTCATTTCCCGACTTGTTAATTTTAGCCATTCTGACTGGTGTGAGGTGGTATCTCATTGTGGTTTTGATTTGTATTTCCCTGATGCCGAGTGATGTGGAGCACTTTTTCATGTGTCTGTTGGCCATCTGGATGTCTTCTTTGCAGAAATGTCTGTTCATGTCCTCTGCCCATTTCTTGATTGGATTATTTGTTCTTTGGGTGTTGAGTTTGCTAAGTTCTTTATAGATTTTGGACACTAGCCTTTTATCTGATATGTCATTTGCAAATATCTTCTCCCATTCTGTCAGTTGTCTTTTGGTTTTGTTAACTGTTTCCTTTGCTGTGCAAAAGCTTTTGATCTTGATAAAATCCCAATAGTTCATTTTTGCCCTTGCTTCCCTTGCCTTTGGCAATGTTCCTAGGAAGATGTTGCTGCGGCTGAGGTCGAAGAGGTTGCTGCCTGTGTTCTCCTCAAGGATTTGGATGGATTCCTTTCTCACATTGAGATCCTTCATCCATTTTGAGTCTATTTTCGTGTGTGGTGTAAGGAAATGATCCAATTTCATTTTTCTGCATGTGGCTGTCCAATTTTCCCAACACCATTTGTTGAAGAGGCTGTCTTTTTTCCATTGGATATTCTTTCCTGCTTTGTCGAAGATTAGTTGACCATAGAGTTGAGGGTCTATTTCTGGGCTCTCTATTCTGTTCCATTGATCTATGTGTCTGTTTTTGTGCCAGTACCATGCTGTCTTGATGATAACAGCTTTGTAATAGAGCTTGAAGTCCGGAATTGTGATGCCACCGACTTTGGCTTTCTTTTTCAATATTCCTTTGGCTATTCGAGGTCTTTTCTGGTTCCATATAAATTTTAGGATTATTTGTTCCATTTCTTTGAAAAAAATGGATGGTACTTTGATAGGAATTGCATTAAATGTGTAGATTGCTTTAGGTAGCATAGACATTTTCACAATATTTATTCTTCCAATCCAGGAGCATGGAACATTTTTCCATTTCTTTGTGTCTTCCTCAATTTCTTTCATGAGTACTTTATAGTTTTCTGTGTATAGATTCTTAGTCTCTTTGGTTAGGTTTATTCCTAGGTATCTTATAGTTTTGGGTGCAATTGTAAATGGGATTGACTCCTTAATTTCTCTTTCTTCTGTCTTGTTGTTGGTATAGAGAAATGCAACTGATTTCTGTGCATTGATTTTATATCCTGACACTTTACTGAATTCCTGTACAAGTTCTAGCAGCTTTGGAGTGGAGTCTTTTGGGTTTTCCACATATAGTATCATATCATCTGCAAAGAGTGAGAGTTTGACTTCTTCTTTGCCGATTTGGATGCATTTAATTTCCTTTTGTTGTCTGATTGCTGAGGCTAGGACTTCTAGTACTATGTTGAATAGCAGTGGTGATAACGGACATCCCTGCCGTGTTCCTGACCTTAGCGGAAAAGCTTTCAGTTTTTCTCCATTGAGAATGATATTTGTGATGGGTTTTTCATAGATGGCTTTGATAATATTGAGGTATGTGCCCTCTATCCCTACACTTTGAAGAGTTTTGATCAGGAAGGGATGCTATACTTTGTCAAATGCTTTTTCAGCATCTATGGAGAGTATCATATGGTTCTTGTTCTTTCTTTTATTAATGTGTTGTATCACATTGATTGATTTGCGGATGTTGAACCAACCTTGCAGCCCTGGAATAAATCCCACTTGGTCATGGTGAATAATCCTTTTAATGTACTGTTGAATCCTATTGGCTAGTATTTTGGCGAGAATTTTTGCATCTGTGTTCATCAAGGATATTGGTCTGTAGTTCTCTTTTTTGATGGGATCCTTGTCTGGTTTTGGGATCAAGGTGATGCTGGCCTCATAAAATGAGTTTGGAAGTTTTCCTTCCATTTCTATTTTTTGGAACAGTTTCAGGAGAATAGGAATTAGTTCTTCTTTAAATGTTTGGTAGAATTCCCCCGGGAAGCCATCTGGCCCTGGGCTTTTGTTTGTTTGGAGATTTTTGATGACTGTTTCAATCTCCTTACTGGTTATGGGTCTGTTCAGGCTTTCTATTTCTTCCTGGTTCAGTTGTGGTAGTTTATATGTCTCTAGGAATGCATCCATTTCTTCCAGATTGTCAAATTTGTTGGCGTAGAGTTGCTCATAGTATGTTCTTATAATTGTCTGTATTTCTTTGGTGTTAGTTGTGATCTCTCCTCTTTCATTCATGATTTTATTTATTTGGGTCCTTTCTCTTTTCTTTTTGATAAGTCTGGCCAGGGGTTTATCGATCTTATTAATTCTTTCAAAGAACCAGCTCCTAGTTTCGTTGATTTGTTCTATTGTTTTTTTGGTTTCTATTTCATTGATTTCTGCTCTGATCTTTATGATTTCTCTTCTCCTTCTGGGTTTAGGGTTTCTTTCTTGTTCGTTCTCCAGCTCCTTTAGGTGTAGGGTTAGGTTGTGTACCTGAGACCTTTCTTGTTTCTTGAGGAAGGTTTGTACCGCTATATATTTTCCTCTCAGGACTGCCTTTGTTGTGTCCCACAGATTCGGAACCGTTGTGTTTTCATTATCATTTGTTTCCAAGAATTTTTTCAATTCTTCTTTAATTTTCTGGTTGACCCATTCATTCTTTAGAAGGATGCTGTTTAGTCTCCATGTATTTGGGTTCTTTCCAAATTTCCTCTTGTGATTGAGTTCTAGCTTCAGAACCTTGTGGTCTGAAAATATGCAGGGAATGATCCCAATCTTTTGATACTGGTTGAGACCTGATTTAGGACTGAGAATGTGATCTATTCTGGGGAATGTTCCATGTGCACTAGAGAAGAATGTGTATTCTGTTGCTTTGGGATGAAATGTTCTGAATATATCTGTGATGTCCATCTGGTCCAGTGTGTCATTTAAGGCCTTGATTTCCTTGTTGATCTTTTGCTTGGATGATCTGTCCATTTCAGTGAGGGGAGTGTTAAAATCCCCTACTATTATTGTATTATTGTCGATGTGTTTCTTTGATTTTGTTATTAATTGGTTTATATAGTTGGCTGCTCCCACGTTAGGGACATAGATATTTAAAATTGTTAGATCTTCTTGTTGGACAGTTCCTTTGAATATGATATAGTGTCCTTCCTCATCTCTTATTATAGTCTTTGGCTTAAAATATAATTGATCTGATATAAGGATTGCCACTCCTGCTTTCTTCTGATGTCCATTAGCATGGTAAATTCTTTTCCACCCCCTCACTTTAAACCTGGAGGTGTCTTCGGGTTTAAGATGAGTTTCTTGT